CCCGAGAGATCCTGAAACCGCTGTCTCTCATCCCATTCTCAGTGCGGCCAAGGGGTCAGGCCCCGTTTGCGGTTGGAGAGCTCCGCTGTCCCTATGTCGACAGTGAGCCTCTTCTCCTCAACCCAGGTACCATCAGCAAGATGACCGATGTGGAGGAGAATGTGCTTCAGAAAGACCCCAGGGCTGCAGAGGGCAGACTGCGCAAGCCTGAAACACCGGCCAAGGAAGACCCGAGCAGAGTGGAAGACCGCCCTCCGCGTAGGTTCCCCAGCCGCCTCTCCGGGTGCTGCTTCTCCTTCGTGCATGCAGTTGAAACCAACCCATTGCTGACCCACCAGCAGGCTTTCCGAGGCCATTTATCGCATGGGAGGAGATTGTCCATCCTTCTTCCGTGGAGCACCTGGTGGCCTTGAACCTCTTTCCTTTGAGATTGCAGCTCAGCTTCTTGCCGTCAAACCTGCTAGGAGACTCCTGCCAGGGCTGATGTGCTTTTAACCCTGCAGACCCTGCAATCCTCAATTTGTTTTTATCGTTTTCTCTTTTTATCTCCTTCCCCCCTAATCTCTACTTTCAGGTTCTAGGCTTCTGTTGACCAGTCTTCAATGCTGGGTGTTTTTGTTTTGGTTTGTTTTTTTCCTGGTCCATGAACAAGAAATTACCCAAGTGAGATTACTTGAATTTGACAGTCAGTACAAAGCCATCTTTGATATGGTTCTATCTTAAATGTGCATGTAGATGTTAAATGGTAGGTATCCACAGTAGATTTTAAAAGTTTGAAATTATCTGAGAATTCTCTTAGTAGTTGCCTATCCTGGCCACCTCTACCCAGCCTTTAAACTTTCAGCCCAAATGTCCAGCCACAAGCGAATGGATTGAGAAATTATGGTACATTCACACAATGGAATACTATGCAGCATGCAGGAGCAATAACTTTGTAAATCATCACCTAACTTGGGAGGGACTGGAAAGCATTATTCTGAGTGAACTCAGTCCCACAAGGATAAAGATTGTTTAACCGTTATTGTAGAATGAGTATAAGGATCCAGGAGGGGGTGGGAGAGACTGGAAGCAGAGGGATGTGGATGTGCAGGGGAAGGGGAGGGGGCAATTAATCATTGGGTTATACAATTTGATGGGGGAGGTGTGAGGGAAATGGAAATAATTTGTTTAAATGCCTTTTGGTGGGTTTTTAAAAATTTTTTTTAAAAAGCTGCATGGATTGTCTATACTGCACCTACATGTTGTTAAGCCTGAACCAGTTTCTAGCTTATCTTCCAGTGGAGTTTTCAGAGGTTAGAAATTTAAAGAGAAGAAGTTGCTTCTCTTTCTTCCAAAAAACTCTTGGTGGATTCACACCGTCAGCCTTTAGGTAGACAGCACAACTCCTTACCAGTAGGCTACCAGAGCTATGCCCACATAAGGGTTCCCATAAATTGAAGTGGACTTTGATTGGCAGCTAAATACAAAAAGTAGACATTCTTTCATGGTCACACTAGAGCACAAAGTTTTCATATTTAGTGCTAGGCCAGACCTCACTGGAACTCTTAAGACTGTGCATTTCTTTTATAATAACATCCAAAGTGTTTAACTAGTTACCCTTACGAAGATCTATCCAGATGGTGAATTATAGCTATGAATCTCATGGCCACATGAGGTCGCTGCTGGTTAACAGATGTATCATTTTAAGCTGCCTTGGAATACTGACTGGGAATATTCAACAGATTTGAACATGATATGAGGTGAAAGTCAACTTTTTGTAAATACAATTTAAATTCCTGAGATGGCTGTTTAGACGTTTTCACATGCAAAATAAATGTATAAAACCAATAACAGCTTTTTCCCTAAATATGAAATTTTATGTGTAAGTTTAGGTTAATTACTTATTCAAAACTTAAACACATTGCCAAAGAGCCATACATAGCTGACCCTTCAGATTTCCTCACTTACAGGAAGCTGTAAATCCCATGGGAGGAGATGGCCCATCTTTCTCCTGAGCTGCTGGTGGATTCAAACTGTTAGCGAGACTCCACCTTTGCATTAGCAGTGCAGCACCCTACACACCACACCATCAGTGCTTAGTTACTTATTATCTTTACTCTTAAAATTGTCTTTAGCCTTGGATCTGTAGATATTGTTTCCTATTTTGGTTGCATTTTATGTATAATTTTGCTCTGAACTGTACTGTTGTTACGTGCAATTGGGTCACCTGCGACTCAGTGACCATATGTACAGCAGCTCTGAAGCCTGCCCTATTCTGGGCCAGTCTCACTGACTCTCTGACACACCTACCCCCATTTCCCCAGTTACTGTATCAATCCATCTCATCCAGGGTTTTCCTCTCCTATGCTGTCCCTCTGCCCTTCCATGCATTATGTGAACCTCACTAAACAGCATAAAAAATCCATGAACTTGTAGAACACTTTACACTGTGAATGAGGCTGGAAGACATAATGCTGAGTGAAATATCTCAGTTACAAAAAGACAAGTACTGCATAAGACTACTGTTATAACAATAGGATTGATATGGCAGGATGGTGGTAGGGTGGGAGGAGGGAAGAACTTAATATTTCTTAATGTGTTACTTGTGTGCAATAGACAGAATAATCTCTCCAAGGCAGACTATGAACTTATTATGCTGTAATTAGAAAATGTCTCACTGTATATTTCCCTCCATCCTTAAATAGGTTAATATAGCTAAGCTTCCTTTAATTTAAAATTAATGACATATGTATTTACATATTATATTACATTTTGCCATTTGGCCAGAACTAATGGTTTCAGAGAGATGAAAGACATTTCAGTTACCTGCTTAATGTTCTGTTTCCCTCTATGTTTTCTAAGCAGAGACTCAGTAACTGTAAAATATAATTTTAAATATTTCAAACTTACTGAAAAAATTTTAAAAACATAGTGCATACCACATTTAAGGGAACTCTGATGGCCGAATAGTAAGGAGTTGTGCTGCTAACCCAAATGCGTGCAATTTGAATCTATCTGCTGTTCTGTGGGAGAAGATTGTCAGTCTCTTCCCATGCAATTTAGTCTCTGAAAACTTGCGGGAGAGTCAGCTATAAATCAATTGGAACTTAGTTAACAACAAACTCACATTATTAACATTCTGTTATATTTACTTTTGCTTTATATGCATCTTTTTTCTTTCTTAAAGTTACAAACAGCATGACCTTACTGCTAAATCATACATGTGTAAAACAAGAGCATTCTCTTATGTAACCTCTTTTCTACAGTAAGTTTTTTTATCTTTAACATGTTAAAATATTTTCTTTATTCA